TTTTTTTTTTTTTTTTGCACACACTCCCTTAACTTAATACCTGACAATGAGAATGTGAATGGAACTTACCCTACTAGGCTGATGCAGCATTTTGATTCGTCTAGCCTCTTGAACCTCCTTCATCAATTCATCCAAGTCCTGATTATAAAGAACACAGAAGACCCAATATCACACGCCCACTCTAACAAGAGATTCCAGACTCATGAACTGACTACCAGGTGTGGAAATGCATAATTTAATCATAGTTCTTATTTTAAATCAAAAGCAATAATAATGTTGGACCTGCATTCCGGAAGCTTTAGACATTCTTTCATGCTCCTGAAGAGCCTCCTCAACTCTCTGCACTGCTGCTCTCGCATTCTCAATCTCCGAACGTGCAAAAGCTCTTTCCTCATCAACAAGCTTTTTAGCATCTTCCGAAGCCTGCAAAAGAATATAGTCTTTAGAATAGGACCAGAAAAGAATAAAGTTTTTTTTTCAGAAGAAATCTAAAACATGAGTACAAAAATACAAACATACAAAATTTGCACCTATTCTCCAGGAAAAAAATGACATACAACTATAAATACATCATTTTTCAAATTATTAACATTCATCTAGAGGGAGGAGATAGCAACATCAAGCAACAAACATAATGTAACCTGCTTTAGAAAAGTTGCCAACTTTTTCACTTCAGCTTTCTCTTGGATTAGCTCTCCTTCTCTCTGAGTTAACTGAACCGCTAAAGCTTCAACCTTCAAAACATTAACATATTAATAACAGAGGCAGAGAGGGAAGACTTATACGGAAGGATTTAGCTATACAGACGGAGGAACTTCTCACAATAGAAATAGCATCCTTCACGTCGTCCTTGTTCTTTCCACCTACTCTCCCTTTCAGGGCTTCAAGTGCATCTCGAAGTTTCTTCAGAAGCACGTGTTTCTCTAATGAAGCTGCCTCTTTAAGTCTTGCCTACAAAAGAAAAAGAATACCAAAAAAGAACTTCAGATGACAATTAATTTTATAGAGAGAACTACTTTGTTACTTGGGCCAAAATCAACATATAAATTTGCCAAGCTCACAAAATACTGAATCTCACTTCTTCACCATAAGCTTACACCAAAATTTCTGATGACTAGTTCACTCAGGAGGCTAGAAAACATGACTAGGGAGGTGTTTTGCTCCAACTTTTAGAAAAATTAAGGAAAAGGAAGGGCTTTGTTTGTTATAGCATGACTTAAAGAAGTTGGCAGTATTAACAAGACAGATCATAGATGGTCAAGTTATAAAAAGTTCTTTTTTATCCGAAACGAAAACTGGAAGCTAAATTGGAAAATCCGAAGCAGAAACCGGCATTTCGGACACTAACAACAATTTCTCAAATCCCTTTCAGCAGGAGGCCGCAATCAGTTTCTCATTTTAAGGTAAATGCAAATCCACTCTTGAGATCATAAAAGACAACAAGGAACTAACCTCGTCAGATAACTTTGCTGCTGCAGCCAGACCCTTCTCAAACTTGTTTGTCAGATCTCGTACCGAGAGGCGCTGCTGTTGCTCGAGCAGCAATGTGGTCTCTCGGGCAACAATTTCCTTCATGCTCAACATGTTCGGATCCTCTTTGATCTCCACAATCTGATTGTTCGCCCCGATTTTATACTTGGGAAAACGGGTGGAGGCGAAAATCACGTCAGCCGACACAGGCGAGACAGCATCCTTCTGCAACGAGTAGCTAAAGCCACGGGCTACCCTCGTCATTGCTGTAACTTCCTTAACAACATAACAGAGAATTAAGATTGTTAGCATCAGAAGCCCGATTCTTGGGTTAAGACAACATTCATACTCATAATTAAATCAACTGCTTCATCAGTCCAAGTTCCACACCTCTTTGGTGAGAGTGCAAAAAATATCAACGATAAAAATCAAAACAAAAGACATCTCTTGTTGAAAGCCACATTTCTCATTTTGAATATACCATAAATCTGATTCTGAAAGCATAGCAGCAACACCATTTACCAATTGATATATGTATCTATAATAACTAATAACAAAAAGAGAAGAAAAAAAAAAAAAGGTATCAGTAAACAAAAGATCCCATTTTTCCCCAATTGCATTGAGTAAATCTAAAACTACAATCAAAATTTACAAGAACATCAAACTCAAGCCAATATATATCACAAGACAATCAGAACCAATACCAACCCTGACAGAGAACACATTGAATTGATAAGGCAAATAAATACTTCAGACCAAGCAAAAATAAAAATATAAAAAAGTTGGAAAACCCCAAAACCTTTCAAACACAGAGAACACAATAAAAGAGAGAAATCAATGATTAAACTAAAGTAACAGCAAAAACACCTAAAACCCATGATTGTTGTACTTACTGGTCATACAAATGCAAGAATCTTGGTCTGTATTTCTTTTTGTTGTTCCAAAAATGTGAAAGTAAACAAGGATTCACTTGCAGCAACGCTTGAATAGAGAGAGAGAGAGAGAGAGAGAGAGAGAGAGAGAGAGAGAGAGAGAAGGGTCATGTAAAAGGGAAAAAGAAAAATGCTATACAAGTTTGTTTGTCTGCTTTTTGAAAAGCCAACTAAAGGGGGACAAAAGTGGCCCCCCTGTTTTCCTCAAGAAAATGCACATAAACAGTTCAAATAATTTTAGAACATCACTTCTCTAGTGCACAGCTGTGAATTCAATTGGTGTTTTTATTACTGATGAAGAGCAAGATGAGATCTTTGGCCTACCATTGGCACTTTACTTTCAGCAGTCACCAAAAAATGAACTTGATTTTTGTTTTTGTTTTTTTTCTCTT